TAATTGTGAGTACCATCTTCGTTCATTTTATTATTATTATTACTACTACTACTACTACCTTTCGACTTTTATTTATTTATTTATTTTAGCCTATTGATTGATTTATTTAACCATTTGGACTTCTTTTATTGTTTTGCTCAAGTTTTTTATTCTATACTGTATTAAAATGTTACTTTAATAAACGCAAATCATTATACTTCAAGTTGGCTTTACTTTCAGTTTTAACTTTTTGCACTTGACTTTTTGTGTCAGTATACCGTTTATTTTGTCACAAGTCACTTTGTTCATGTTTGATCCTATAGCACCTACATTTAAGCACTAAATGAGGGTAAAGGTAGATGCCTCTGGCACTTTTCGTCTGTCAAATCGTGACTAAATAGAATAATCTTAATTATCACCCTTTAAGACGGAACAATTCATGTCCTTAATCCGCGCTGCTTTGAATTGTTTTAACAGATCAGAGCCAGATATGCAAATCCCTTAATAGTAGTGTCCTCGCTGATAACACGAAGCCTAAATCTATTGCCTTGAAGTGAAACGCTTTGAACGCGTCTTGATCTGCCTCCAAAACCTGAGAACTTCTTGAACGACGTCAATTATCATATATAAAGTTCTATTGTGAACACGTACTTTAAAAGGTTTTAAGGTGATGAACTTTTTGAGCAATGTTGCTTGGGCACTTTCCCATTGAGAATGGGCAACAAATGTCTATCTGGACACTTTAGATCGGCCGTGGGCCCTGTGTCTGGGAGCCCGTTGATGGCAACATTGCTCAAAAAGTTTCCCAGTGTATCATCACCTTTGAGAATGTGCTCATGGATAAAGCTCTCTGATTAGATGAGACGCGTTCGAACGCAGTTAAATAGCTAATATGCCAGCCAGCGAACAGTTCAGATAGATGCACGCTTTGTTTAATCCAATTATTGTCGAATTTGATTAACTATTAAACTTGTATTTTATAACTTTTCTTAGTTTTTTTTGTGCCAGTTTTGATCGGATGAGCCGTATTTGAAGCTAGGCCTATTCAGTTTCCATCACGTTGATGCTTTGCTTGTGTAAAAAGCATAAGGATCCATTCTTATTTCGATTATTACATTTAATAAGGTTCCTGTTTGTTAAACAATGGTCCTTTTAATTACGTTGCCGTGTTGCCTTTTTTAGGGAGTTAAATTCCCTGAAATTGGAAGTTTTCGTGACTTATTTCTTTCACTAATGGGTCTTTAGGACTTTAAGAAACTACTGGATATCGAAAGTACTCCAACTAAAACTAAATGCAAACCAATGCAACTCATTTAAATTATTTCAACAGACTTACCATTGACCATGACCAAAATGTTGACATTTTTCAACGTTTTATTTTAGCAAAAATAAGTCAGCAGGTAAATGCATTTATAACTTAAACAAAATAACTGTACAATATTTACACAGTCCTTTGGTTTTTAAACCAGGCATTGGATGCAAACTTCCACAACGAAACGTTACCAATGGTTTTCAAAGTGCAAAATTCATAGCGTCTTGAATGAACGGTTTCATTGACTCTGTTTGAGAAGGTCATGTGTGGAGAGGTTTACAGGAGAGTAGGAGTCCCTTGAAGGCCATCCAGCCCACCACTTTCCAAACTCTGGACTGTATAGATGTTTCAGATCGCTGGGTTTCTTGACGATATCTGAAGTCGCGGTTTCCGCGAGAGACCAGATTTTAGGTTTCTGGACTTCGACGTTTTGTTTACACACCTCTTTTTTGGTCTCACAGGACGTGTCAGACTTGTCACCTTCCTTTTGCTGATCCAGTCCTTCCGCTAAACGGTCCTCAACCGACTTTGACAGCGCGACATCCTCCTCCTCCTCATCATCAACTGTTTGAGGATCGATTTCATCTTCATCCTCCATGCCTTTCCTCAAAGATCCATCCTCTTCGCTCTCACCCTCCTCTTCATCTTCCTCATCGTCGGATTTTCCTTTGGAGGCCCAGCTGACCCGGTTCTCCTTCTTCAGGCGGCGCCGGGCGTTGGCGAACCACGTCGACACCTGCGTGAGGCTCATCTTGGTGACGATGGCGAGCATGATCTTCTCGCCTTTAGTGGGATATGGGTTTTTCAGGTGCTCGCTGAGCCAGGCCTTCAAAGCGCTGGTGCTCTCCCTTGTGGCCACTTTAGTGACCCTACTCGGGTCATCAGCTGGCATGGGACGATACGGAGTGTAATAGGGTCCCCCACGTCCGAGGAGAGCTTGGTGATACGGAGATGCAGCCTTGAGGTCATAGGAATTGCTCTGAAAGGAAGCAAGAGAGTCGGTTTTAGAAAATGGAACAATATGCATGTTGCAATACAATAATATTTTTTTCAGTCTGTCATGTTTTATTTCTATATTCATTACACCACTTGTAATACGTACAAAAAAAGTACATTTTATCCAAAGCGACTTACAAATGTATTTATTTATGCAATATAAAAATCATTCAGAATACTTACAATGTGTGCCATGTGTCCCGGATGAGGATAGGGGATGAAACTGTATCCCGGTATTCCTGAGAAAGGTAAGGGAACCCCAGCCATTCCCACAAGATGTGGCGGTGGCTGTTGCATTCCTGGCGGACAGCCCAATAATTGATATCCAGCGGGCATGTTGATGTTTCTGTCCATGAAGAAGTTTCCAAACCCCGTTGGTGAAGCAGGCATCCTTACTCCCTGAGCTGTGGTGTTTGAATGACAGTCCCTCGATTTCACGAGTGCCGTTTATAGGCGGAGCCGCACTAGTGGGCGGTGCCATATTGGTTGATTGACAGCTGTGATCCAAAGGCTTGCACTGGGGCTAAATCCCTTCAAAGGAGAATTTCGGTTGTTCCTTTTAACGGCCTCTAAAAGTCTTTAAACGCATGATGCTTATCTCACGCTTATCCGTACTGAAGAGTGGAAAAAAGCAGGGCTCCATTTGAAATTCGCTTCATTTTTTTGATGCTCCTAAATGGAATTGGTGTTTGATTGTACATCGAGCTGAAATACTCTCATATAGCATAATTATTTCAACCATGAAAAAAATGTAGCCTATTGTAGAAAACCCGTCTGTTTTGATTTGGATAAATAGCCTACACTCTAAAAAATGCTGGGTTGTTTCAAGCCAACTTTGGGTCAAAGATGGACTAGCTGTTGGGTTAAATTTCTTAATTACATTTTTAACCCAAAAGTTGGGTTAGTCCATATTTGACCCAAAGTTGGGTTGAAACAACCCAGCATTTTTTAGAGTGTATATGAATTTGTCAAAGATCTTAATTTCTTAAAGTCAAACAATAAATTATTTTATTAGACATTTTCTTATTTACATTAAAAAAAATTAGTATTAAAAATGTCATTTTACATATATTTCAGTTTTGTTTTATATTGTTTATAATCTTGATTGCATGCAATGCAACACTTAATTGAATTGAATGAAGCTCAGCTGAGAGGATCGATTGAAAGCCATCGGAACACCTTCAAATGTCGCACATTAACGTCTCAGAATAAACTTTTTTTCCATCTTGCTGAGAGCGTTTAATCGTTTTGTCTGAGCAAACCGATACAAGACACGACATGACAAGCCATTCTCAGAATTTGATTAGCAACACGGTGCAACGTGTGTCTGAGGGGTTTGAAAAAGTAAGAAAACAGCTTGTGGAAAGTTAAGTTGCTTTGATTTGACATTACATTAAAAAAAACTATTGCAGATGTATTCAACTTGAGTTGCACGTTTGATTAATTGGCATACAAGTAGATTGGCTTTCGTTAATAACAACATTAACATTTAGCAATCTTAATGCATTATGTATTTTAATTTCTTAAATAAAGAATTGTTGAATAATATTTTCGTTAAAGTTATTAAACAAATTGTTTAATCAGTGAGAATTTGATGTCTTCTTTGGATAACTAACACATTAGACCTAAAAATGATCTCGTTATACACGCCGATTTTATTTAAAAAATTTTTATCAAATGAACTAGTCTAAAATGATTTTTCTAATTTCATTTATGTAAATCATTTCCGCACGGGTGCAAATGATTTTTTTTCTTTCGGTTCCAAACGACCCTGGACTATGAATTATTTGGCTTTATTGTGACCGAACATCAAAACCTCTTTTAAACGGGGATGACTTTGTTTTTGCCCACAACAAACCAGTACAATTGGCGTAATTAAATAGGTTTAAGCGAAACAGGTGTCGACTAATGTATATGGTGATTGCAGCATAACAGATGGTAATGTAGAGAGATACTCAGATAAGATTAGAATTCCTAAACATACATACCAATGCCCTGGAAAGAAAAGCACAGCAAACAACCCGACAGCAGGGGGTTCAGGCTCTCTGACATTGGAAATACAAGTTTTTTGTTGAAACTCGCTCTTTAATCTGTTATCTAGTAAACAATGCTGGCATGCATTGTTTCCTAAAACTCTGATAGAGTCTCAGAATTAAGTTTAGTGGCATTTCATGCATTATTTCAGTAGGGTATCTGATGAAAAGAAGTGTTACCTTGATCTCTTCCAAAGGTTTATTTGGAAATGTTTATTAAGATTTTGTGTGAGGTTGTGAAGGTGTGAGACATTTGAAGGGCTGACAGACGGACAGATAAGTTTGGAAGCAGGGTGGGGTTCAGATCCCCTCGGGCCAAGAGCAAATTTACTCAGCTTGCACAATGGTCAAAATGGAGAGCAAAGAGCAAAGCTTATGCTGCATCTCTGAAGATAAGCAGCTCAGGGCTGTGATTATTGTGTTCCTCACACACTCGGCTTTCTCCTCTCCTCTCGCACACAATACAGGTGTACTCATGTTCTGACAGGTCCAGTTAAGACTGTTTGCTCACGGGATGTCAGTCATTTGCCGAGAGGAGAACAGCGTGAGATAGTAGACTGACATATACTTCAGATAAGAGATGAGCTTCTCCAGTCCTTTACCACAGAGAAAGCAAAGAAATCCAGATCTGCATGAGCGGAGGTTTCTCCTGAGAGCTGATTTCAATTTTGCTTCACTCTACTGGAACTACTCGTGTCAAAATCCTAATGGTTTGTGTTGTGGTTTAACCAAACAGATCAACCAGATGAATCAATACAGAGAAAAAGGTCCCAGTACTTGCCAGCTTAGTGCTACTTCTACACATCAAGGTCAGCTGAAATCCTCAATAACATCATAGAAAATATTTGCATAGGTCATAATTAATCATATACAGACAATAAATACATAAATAGAATAATAAATACATTCATATATTTATATTATATACTTAATTTATATATAACAGAAATAGATACGAAACAGAAATTTAAATAGAAACGCACCACACATATAAAAATATGCACAAAACTTGGTTTTACTATAAGATATAGTCTACTGTAAAATGGCATAAATAAAAAGAAAAATAATAATAAATAAAGCAACCATGCAAATGCATGGTAAATAAAAAAATAAACCCAAAACTTGATTTTTACAATGATATACTCAAAGATGGCTGTTAAAAATACAAATATATGGAAAATAAAAAGCTCACAAATAAATAAATACATTTGGCTTTAAGACATAACCTAAAAATAGCAGATCAAATAAAAAATAAATAACTAAATAAAACATAACCTGTAACATGCATGGAAAACTCTATATACTCGTAAAGAAATAAAACTAATGATAAAAAATAAATAATAAATGTATATGCACAAAATTTAATTAAATAACCATACAAATACATGGTAAATAAAAAGTAAAATAATCACATCTATATATGGTAAATATAGCATTTTAATTTATTTCATAGATATTTAGACAGAATATATTTTTTTGCTGTATTGTTATACTGTATACCTTTTCTATGTAATGTAAAAGAAAAAATCTGTAATTAATTAACTTCCCCAAGCTTGAATTAATAGACCATAAAAATAAATCATAGTTTCTACTGGTGATGAAATATAAATGTTAAACGTGTCAAGACAAAACAAGACTGGTCTGTCTAGGTACTCCAACTCTGAAAATTAAACGTATCTGCATTTTACCCAAATGGGATTCTTTGCAAACGGGAGGATCATCCATTGAGCGCAGTATGTGTGTCCTAATGAGTTGCTAATGACAATGGGCAGAGGTGTGACTTCATTTAGCGCTCATCACATACCACTGAGCAGACAAAAGGCTTGAACTTGTCATTAGAATGGCCAATAGTCAGGTGTCAATAAGATCTGTTAACAAAAGCATGAATGGAATCCACAGAGTGTGTTTCACACCTTCTACATGTTAGTTTTTCTTTCTGGAAGTAGTCCCTTTTTAAGCCGTTTTGAGGTGAGAAGAGATACATGCTTAAAAATCGGACTTAAACATTGTGTATCAAATTTGTTAGTGTCAAATAAAATTAATTTTATTTATTTTTTTGACTAAACTAGCATAACATCGAGAAATTGAGTCAGGAAAATAAATACATAAATGATTCAATAAAAATCATTCAATCAGTCTGCTACTTTGAGGGGTTTTCCCCAGCTAATCTGACCTTTAAAAAAGACTTTCATTGGTGTTGATTGTGTTAACAGACATTCGAATATTGACTTGAATAAAGCAAAGTTATGAGTAATTTGAATGTTAACAGTACAAGCACATATATTTAGGTTGACACTAGTATGTTTGTTTTACAGCGTAGAGAAATGAATATAAATGTATGGTCTAAATTGCTCTTAAACCTTTAAAAAGAAGTTTATTTTTATATGGGCCATTTTATTACAAGACAGGTTTAATTTTAAATGGTGTGACCTCATAAAAGTGTTGGCCTAAAACAATGCTGTTGATTTTAGTGTTCAAACCCCTCATTTGGAGAGCTAATGAGCTATGCCAAGTCCACAGGCCCAAACAGAGGAAAGTTAGCTGAACGTGAATGTTATCAGTCTTTCCCACCTCCCCTCTATCAACCACCCCCCTCCACTATCCATCTATCTTTTGTCATTTGTGTTATCATCCCTACTCTATCACTCTTCTTTACAGAGAAGTGACATTGCAAGTACTCACCAATGGGAGGATGCCTTTGTTAGGGGTCTAGACCGGTCCCGCCCACTCCTCTTTCTCTTTCGGGCTGTAATTTGATTGACAGCCCCCGCATGGGGTGAGTGACAGGTGGTGTTCGTTAGCCTGTGACAGGCGGCATGGTGGTTGGAGTTTGTGCTGTAGATTGGGGCCCATCCACATGATCATCCTTATGTGTGGTTGAGAATACAGTGCAGTGCGTCCATACGGCATCCAGATTCCTACTACGTGTTCTGCTGCTTGAATGAAAGACTGGGATGCTGCAAAAAAAAAAAAATGTAGAGAACAAGAGCGCAAGGAGAGAACACCTCAGTTCTAAAGAAAGACAGATAGAAATGCGACAGACAGAGAGATAGAAAGAAATGCGACACAGACAGACAGATAGAAATGCGACAGACAGAAATGTGATAGAAAGAAATGCAACAGACAGATAGATATGCATTAGACTGACAGATATGCATTAGACAAACAGATAGATATAGATGTGCATTAGACAGACAGACAAATAGATATGCATTAGACAGACAGATAGATATAGATGTGCATTAGACAGACAGACAGACAGAGACAGACAGACAGATATGCATTAGACAGACAGATAGATATAGATGTGCATTAGACAGACAGACAAATAGATATGCATTAGACAGACAGATAGATATAGATGTGCATTAGACAGACAGACAGACAGACAGATAGATATACATTAGAAAGACAGACAGATATGCATTAGACAGACAGACAGATAGATATGCATTAGATAGACAGATAGATATAGATGTGCATTAGACAGACAGACAGACAGATAGATATGCATTAGACAGACAGATAGACAGATAGATATGCATTAGACAGACAGATAGATATAGATGTGCATTAGACAGACAGACAGACAGATAGATATGCATTAGACAGACAGATAGATATGCATTAGACAGATAAATATGCGTTAGACAGACAGATAGATATGCATTAGACAGACAGATAGATATGCATTAGACAGACAGACAGACAGATAGATATGCATTAGACAGACAGACAGATAGATAGATACGCATTAGACAGACAGACAGAGACAGAGAGATAGATATGCATTAGACACAGACAGACAGACATTATTGATCATTTGTGATCAGAAACGGGAGAAAACTTTAAGGCACACAAGTCAAGTCACATTTTGATGCACAGATATGCATTAGACAGACAGACAGATAGATAGATATGCAATAGACAGACGGATGGACGGACAGATAGATAAAGACATTATTGATCATTTGTAATCAGAAACGTGAGGAAACTTTAAGGCACACAAGTCAGACTTGCATAAAGCGCTTAACAAATGCACTCCTCATGCGGCTGTTTCCCCCTTACAATCAATACCTGGTGTGCTTGTAAGGCATCTGTGACATGACATCTACATTTTGGGTCATTTGTAAAACAAAGACTACAAGGAAGCTGGAGGCCTTGAGCCGCTGGTTTCAGTTCCCCCTCCCAGGCACAATGGCGGCCCGTAACCGTAGGGGGAGCGGCCCTCAGATGGAAATGAGCAACCAAACCAACAATGTAGTGCCTAATCTCTTCAGAGAGCCGGGAATCAGTTACACAGCAGTAGAGGCCTCTCCGTGCTTTTCAGTGGCCTCCCCCCCCACAAACGCAGACACGCACACACCCTCCAACCCCCCTCCTGTGTAGCCACAGGCTCCCCTTACACATAGGCCAGATACAAGGTATCCCCCTGCAACAGAAGGGGCAAGAATAAGTGGGGCGTGGGGTGGGGCAGAGCCCTCAAAGCACGGGATTAGAGCTAATGTGCCCTCCCTGGGTTCTAATCTCTTCAGAGGAGCAGCGTGTTTGAGGACTGCGGGGCAGTCAGATAAGTATCTATTACAGCAAGGCCCTCTTATCCTTCAAACACCCCCATGCCCTTCAGAAATGAGGCACAAAACCACTTGTCTGTCTTCTCCTGTGATACCCAAAACCCGAAAGCAAGCGCTGGCCTTTTGCAACTAAGCTGGAATTAAGGGCTCAGGACCTTACGGAGGGCCGCTAGGGCCCATATTTGCTCCATCTGGGGAGCTCAAAGACGAGCGACTGATGGGCATCAAAGAAGGAGAGGAGAAAAGAACCGAGGAGCTTCGCTGGGAAGGTGCGAGCCATGGGACAGTGACTGAGGTAGAAGATCTGATAGGGTGTAATCTTGTTAGGGTGATCCAGAAGAGTGATGAAAGATTAGCGCAAGGGCCGGGAGGAAAGGTGGGAGATTGGAGCGCAACACTTTATGACAAAAAAATGATCTTAACAATTAGAGGAAAAAACTGACAATAATGAACAGAAAAAAGCACACATTACAGTTTATTTTTCTTTTTATAAAAGGGAACATAAATTACATTATGAAATAAACACTCAGGTAACAGGAAAGGCCCTCAGACTTCCGGTATAAGGCACGGACTAGAAGATTTACTCGACATTATCCTTTGGAATGCAAAATACATTTATTTTATAATAAAAATGAGCTAAAACCATACAAAGACATTAATGGCAGTAAAAGAATAAAAGAAAAGGCTTTTGCAAAGCATTTAAATTCCATGAAATTATATTTGAGTATTTCAAACTGAAATAATGCAGAATAGGACTGATTTTTTCATAGGAATTTTATCATAAAATTCTTGATATTGTTGGCTGAAATGATATTTCCCGGTCCACAGAGCCTTTGTTATGTCATTATAAAAGGAAAGTTATTTCAGGGGCAGAGAATGTCATTGCATTTCGGTGGAACATTATAAAAACATTATTTATTTATTTGTTCGCTCATTTATTTTTGCTTAAGAATAATGTACGCTGAAAAAATGCTTATAATACATTTATTTTCTTATATTATATTTATATGCTATCAGTATATCTATCTTCGCAAAAAGTTAAATATTTTTATATTTAATATATTACATATACAAAATTATATATATAATATACTATATATAGTTACATATATGTGTGTGTGGACAGGCAACCAAACCAACAATGTAGTGCCTAATCTCTTCAGAGAGCCGGGAATCAGTTACACAGCAGTAGAGGCCTCTCCGTGCTTTTCAGTGGCCTCCCCCCCCACAAACGCAGACACGCACACACCCTCCAACCCCCCTCCTGTGTAGCCACAGGCTCCCCTTACACATGGGCCAGATACAAGGTATCCCCCTGCAACAGAAGGGGCAAGAATAAGTGGAGCGCAGGGTGGGGCAGAGCCCTCAAAGCACGGGATTAGAGCTAATGTGCCCTCCCTGGGTCCTAATCTCTTCAGAGGAGCATCGTGTTTGAGGACTGAGGGGCAGTCAGATAAGTATCTATTACAGCAAGGCCCTCTTATCCTTCAAACACCCCCATGCCCTTCAGAAATGAGGCACAAAACCACTTGTCTGTCTTCTCCTGTGATACCCAAAACCCGAAAGCAAGCGCTGGCCTTTTGCAACTAAGCTGGAATTAAGGGCTCAGGGCCCATATTTGCTCCATCTGGGGAGCTCAAAGACGAGCGACTGATGGGCATCAAAGAAGGAGAGGAGAAAAGAACCGAGGAGCTTCGCTGGGAAGGTGCGAGCCATGGGACAGTGACTGAGGTAGAAGATCTGATAGGGTGTAATCTTGTTAGGGTGATCCAGAAGAGTGATGAAAGATTAGCGCAAGGGCCGGGAGGAAAGGTGGGAGATTGGAGCGCAACACTTTATGACAAAAAAATGATCTTAACAATTAGAGGAAAAAACTGACAATAATGAACAGAAAAAAGCACACATTACAGTTTATTTTTCTTTTTATAAAAGGGAACATAAATTACATTATGAAATAAACACTCAGGTAACAGGAAAGGCCCTCAGACTTCCGGTATAAGGCACGGACTAGAAGATTTACTCGACATTATCCTTTGGAATGCAAAATACATTTATTTTATAATAAAAATGAGCTAAAACCATACAAAGACATTAATGGCAGTAAAAGAATAAAAGAAAAGGCTTTTGCAAAGCATTTAAATTCCATGAAATTATATTTGAGTATTTCAAACTGAAATAATGCAGAATAGGACTGATTTTTTCATAGGAATTTTATCATAAAATTCTTGATATTGTTGGCTGAAATGATATTTCCCGGTCCACAGAGCCTTTGTTATGTCATTATAAAAGGAAAGTTATTTCAGGGGCAGAGAATGTCATTGCATTTCGGTGGAACATTATAAAAACATTATTTATTTATTTGTTCGCTCATTTATTTTTGCTTAAGAATAATGTACGCTGAAAAAATGCTTATAATACATTTATTTTCTTATATTATATTTATATGCTATCAGTATATCTATCTTCGCAAAAAGTTAAATATTTTTATATTTAATATATTACATATACAAAATTATATATATAATATACTATATATAGTTACATATATGTGTGTGTGGACAGTATATATATATATATATATATATATATATATGAATGAGTATATTATAAAATAAGGGTATATAAAATATTATAAAACTAGTATTTTTTATTTTGTTGTCTTTAAGGATGAAAAACATTCTCACAAAAACATAAACAGTGGTTCTGACTTTTAAGTTATATAAGGTGAAGATAAGTTCAAAGCAAATTAAAGCTGAAGTTGGTCTCTATTCAAGATAGAACTTTAGCATTGACATATTTTGTGAAACGGAGTTCTTGTAAAACCTTGGGATCATATGATGTACAGGTATTTTAAAAATGCACCTTTTCATTGCTTAATGAAAATTGTAAACCTTTAGCAGAGAAAATAAGACATCACACTTACCGAATATCACACACTGCTGTGGCATAACACTACAAATGCTAATTATTAAGCTAAAAAGCTACTTAAATGTGAATACAACTAAATCACACTATTTGTGCGAAAAAAGCAGCAAAGTGCGTTTTCATCTGTAAACTATTCACGTGGCACTAAAGCGGTACTGAAGATGTTTGGACTTCACGCAGTCTACCGTGAGAACTTTCTGGGCCTAAACGCAGGCAGCATGAGCTGATGAGCAACAGTCCTCTCCTCCGGCACGGGCGCCAGCTCCTCTGCTGAACCCCACTTCTTCATGGAGTGAAATAATGAGGTGATCTTCCTGTTCCTGCGCTCGCCGGCCTGGGTCAGGCTGTGGCACTCGCTGACTTCAGCTTGGAGAACAAACATCAAAGCAGTGTTAAGAAGAAGACCACACTGTGCATGAAATAACACGCTGGAAGGACAAATAAGGTGAAGACACACAGTCCAAAATTGATCCACGAGGCACCCCGTAGATTCAGAGAAACCACATGCTTGCGCTAATGTGGAAAACATCTTCAGTGCTGCTCTTTCCACATGTGCCACATGTCTGAATGGACTAAACACCATCATGCTGCATTGCATTTATGCATAAAAAAAAAACAAAAAAAAAAAAACAAGAATTAAGTTTGACTCACATAGCTCATGGTCTTCTAATTTTGTCTCCCGTAAATTGAGGTAATGATATGCTATGTGGCCGCTGTAGTCCCGCAAATTCTCCTTTGCTCCTGAGCACATGTTCAAATTTCAGCAATATTAAATTAAGCAACTTTAAAATAATAGAATAAAATAAAAAAAATTAAAAATTAATTAAATTAAAAAAAAAAATTTTTTTTAATAAAAATAAAATAAATAAATAAAATAAAATAAAAATAAAAATAAAGGGATAAATGCTTACCATATGTCCTGACCAGCAGGTCAAATATATGTCGATGCCCGTGCAGTGCTGCAATGTGTAAAGGTGTGTATCCCTGTGAGAATAAAATACTGAATATCACAAAAAGTGTCAAGAGCAGGTTATAATTCATCACATAATCAAAAGAATCAAATAAAAAATATTTATAAATAATATTTTTTATTAAATTCAATTCTACAAAAAATATTTAAATTAATTAAATACATAATATATTTTACATTTACAAATATTTTACATGTAGTAAAAATTGTTATGTGTTAAAATATATTTTACATTTTTTGCACGGTGACATTATTTTCATGACAATTAAGCCCATTTAATAATTAGCATTACCGTAACGCATACATATACAAACACAACACACGCATATATAAATACATGCATATGCTGTATTGAATTAAATTAAATACAAAATATATTTTACATTAACAAATATTTTACATAAATTAAAATTTGTCATGATGTATATCAGATATAAATATACTTGAGATTTTTAGTCATGTTTTTAGTCATGTCATATATTTTAGACATTATTGTCATGACAATTAAACCTATTTAATAATTGTCATTTCCGTAATATGTACATATACACACACATATATAAATATATTGCATTCAATTAAACAAAACTATTTCATTAAATAGAATTAATTAAATATTTCATTTAAATACAAAATATATTTAACATATTTGAAAATATATTTTAGATTGTTTGCCCCATGACATAATTCAGTCAAATTGCTTTGCTCTGAACCTGCTGTTGGAATACATGAAGACATTGTTTAAGGGAAGCTGTTAACATGACAGAGTTTGATTTATGAACAGACATTCTCAAACAGTGCCTGGCTTCATTTGCACAGCTGGGCACCCACATACCCTTTCACAGGAGTTATGTCAGAAGCGGACATTTCAAAACGGCACTTTCTGGCAGCTTGACACACACGTGAGAAACATTAACCCAGGCGAATATAAGGTGAGGGGTACTTACATGCTGTGAGAGAAAAGGAGACACCAAAATATGATTAGTAAATGCATTGGAGTTTAGGCATATATGGATTTGACAAAAAATGAATTGATTTATGAAGTGCGTACTGCTTTTGTATTGATGTCAGCCCCTGCTTCTGCCAACACTGTGGTCATGTCTTCTTTACCGTGTTTTGCAGCCCAGTGCAGCGCTGTCTGTAAGAGATTGAAACATTACAATACTAAAATATATATATAAATGTAAATAAGCACAAGACACATTTACATAAAATAACAATTTAAATAACATCCTCCTGTACAATGTATGACCCATGAACTCTTTATAACATGATCCGTGTCAAAAATTTGCTTTTGACATTTGACCCAGAAATGCGCAGATTCTTCTTCTATTTCTTCAAATATTACTTTCATTATATTTGTTTTTTTCTTTACTTTAATGTTTCTTTATTTTATTTATACATTAATATTTATTCTTCAAATAGTTTTTTCATTATAATATTATTTTATTTGAATATTTATTTATTCTTAAATTTATTTTTTACTTTTTCTACATTCTTTTATTGTTTTAAAAAAATGCTTTTATTGCATTTGACCTAGAAATTGTGCATAACACTTAATATTCATTCTTCAAATAACATTAATTATAATATAATTTTATTTTCATATTTATTTATCCATTCTTTCATTTATTAATTCTTATGTTTGATTACATTTAACCTAGAACTTGTGCAGAATACTAAATATTTGTTCTTGTTTTTCCATTATTATATTTATTTATTTTACTTTAACATTTCTTTTTACTTCCTTCCTTCATTCATTCACTCACTCACTCACAATTGTTTTTATCATTTATCATATTTAACCAAGGAATTGTGCAGAATCTTAAGTACTCCTTCAAATATAATTTCATCATTATAAAATTTTTATTTTAATATTTATAATTTTATTTTAATATTTTTTATTAAACTATTCATTTTTTTTATTATTTTGTATTATTTTTTCAAATAACGAAATTGGTTGAGAGGTTTGGTTTAACTTTTTTTTTTTTTTTGGTCACTACAATTCTCACACTTGCATTTATTGTTATTTCATAGTTTAAATTTAATTTTTTTAATCATTTTGAAAATGTATTTAAGCATTTTTAAAAAGAACTCATCAAATTTAATTTTTTTTTTAATTTTTAACAATTCTAAAACTTTAATCTTAAAACGGATCATTTCCCGTCTAAATCCAAAAGCTCTGCAGATTTTGAGTGTGGTCTCAGACTTGTAGGCAGCACGGTCGATCTGAATCCTCATATTGCTTGTTTGACCAGCTTGTCTGAGCTAGTCAAGCCATCTGATTCATCTTGTAATACATCATTTACACTCCGCATGTTCATTCTCTCCCACTAGGTAGATCCCCACCCCCCTAACGCCACGCTGTGGAGTGGCCCGCGGGTCCCATAGGCTGCCAGCGGGCCCCAGCTGTGCACAGAGGGTGTGGAGGGGACGGTTTCCTGCCATCTAATGGCGGTCTAATTACAAAACAACAAACCAGTGAGCCCACTGCGGGGGGAGCACAGGCCTGTCACGGGGTGCAAGATTGATGATGTTGGTATGACCCTCTGATGAAGGACCCACCCAGGAATCAGCCTGTTGACAAGGCCTGTCAAGAGGAGAAGGGGCCGCACACCACACTCAAGCTCAGATACGTACACATGCACACTGGAGCTTCTAAATGCCCTGCGCTCAAACACAAAGAATGGAGAAGATGGGAAAGCTATTGACCTCAGCCTGAGAGACACACCTCCTCTATCAGGAGGATGATGTTCGGTGGATTCTACAAGACGGCACTGGATCAAAATCAGCCACTTTATGTGGATGTACTCTGCATAATTTTTAGTGCATGTTATTCTAGAGAAAAAAAAAAAGATCAAATAACTTTTCTTCTCATTTGAACTGTTTTTCTTTCAAGAAGAGTCATGCGAGTGAGGGAAAAAAAAACATTAAATACTATCACATCTCAATTTTCATGATGAATGAAATGCATTTCTGACTTACATTATTTAACACGGAATTTTTTATTTCTGGAAAGTTTAATTGACTCGGTTTAAGTCATTTGTTCTGTTTCTGGAATGTTAAACCAAACCTCTCAAAACTCTTTAAAAAAATTGAAGGAGTAAATAAACAAACAGTTAATAAAATACAGTTCTGATCTACATTATTTAACTAAGTGTTTGTTTCACTCATTTTAATGCATTGTGAAAAATACCAAATAAATATAAGTTAAAAGTAAAAATGAGATCACTTCTTCAAGCTATATCAGCTGATATAATTTCAATTTTTAACATCAATTTGTCAAATGCTAATTCGGACTGCCAAGAGTTAAGACATTTCTACACAAAACTACACTAAAAACACAAAACAAAGATTGCAAGAATAGGATGCCACTCCTTGACTTAAACTAAATGAGCTCATGTGACAACAATATGGCATACTTGAATGCTTTTAGTGGCATAACATGGCTATGTTTGGAATAGCATATCCAAATATTGCATCCCACAATGCAACGGGCTCAAAGTGAATGTCCATTTCCAGTTTAACAACGTCCATTACTGTACAAAGGTAAGATTTCATTACTGCATCATTACTCCAGTCTTCAGTGTCACATGATCCTTCAGAAATCATTCTAATATGCTGACTCGCCGCTCAAAAAACATTTATTATTATTATCAATGCTGAAAACAGCTGTGCTTCTTAATTTTTTTTTTTTGTGGAAACTGAGATCATTTTTTTCAGGATTTTGTAACAGAAATATTTCAGAAATATTTTGTAACATTTTAAATGCTTTTACTATCACTTTTAATCAATTCGACGTGTCCCTGCTTCAATATAATAGAAATATGAATTTCTTTAAAAAAATATACAGAATGCTATGATTAGTAACTCTACCCTAATTCTGACAAAAGATATTTAATTAAATAGATATAAAATTAAAAATGCCAAATTACACTTTTTAATAACTAGACCAAACAACAATGTACTACAGTCTGAAATCTGCATATGCATACTGCGTACTATTTCATCTGTACACAGTATGCATCATATCTCCACTATTGTGTATTCTTAAGCATGTGTTCTGTACTAAGGGAGGGTCCTGTCTCCTGTAGGTGTTTCCAGTCCTGCCCACGGGACATATTGTGATAGATGAAGTCTGGTTTCACCATCAGCCGCTCTATTGTTTGGGCTGTCGCACCCTTGAGATGGATTGGCCGGCACACATGCTTGACTGACAGCGCGACAGGTCTCATGGAGGCTCGGCGTGACGGACGACGACCAACAGGATGTGACGTCTCCTACACTTGTTCCTCGGGTTCCTGTTTTGGCCTGGCGGGGAACCCTCAGCTCTCACTAACCAAATAGCACCTTTGTGACGACTACCATTGCAGCACAAAAGAGACATATTCACTGCGGCTTTTAAAGAAGAGCGATGGATAAATGATGTACTCACAAACTGGACGGAGGAAGGAGGAAGTCCGGCATACATCGGGAGAGGATGACATGGTGGAGAAAGAGAGAAAGAGAAAGAGATGAGCGCACAGGTGGATTTACATTTACACCTGAGGCCCTGATGCACGGCAAAGTTAGTTTCATTCTTTGCTTAGGGGTAAAAAGTAGTTAAAATACCTGAGAATAATGTTATCAAACAGTATTTAGGTGTGGTCATATTTATGATATTTCAGCGATTTGAAATATTGTCTACTGTCAATATTGTAGAATTTGTTCCTTCAACTTAGTTAGAGTTTGCAGGTTGTATGACGGTAAATTGAAAACATTTTACGTCCAGGTAAAGACCATTTAAAGGAATAAATTAAATAGAACACAATACGTCAATATGTTTTCTAAATCTAAATGTCCTGAATTAGAAATGCTTCAAAATTTGACAAATCAACTTCCAATGCATCTCCATTACTTTTGAATTCATTTTACAAACTAACTAACTAACTAAATAAATAAATAACTTAAGGCTTGAATAGATCTGTTTCAAAACAGTAGAATATGGAAATAAGTTTTACTGTACCCTTTTAATCACACTGTTCTTCATCAGTATTTTTGTCGTTTTCTAGTGCAAATGACTAAAGATTCTTAAATCAAGATACATTTACTTGAGAAGCAAGAACAAATATCTGCCAATGGGCTCAGAAAAAAAAAATCAACTTAATTGTGAAAACAAGTTTTCCATATTGACAGATGTTTATCCTTGTTTTAAGAATAAACTCACTTAATTTTGTAGTAAACAAGACGTTTAGGATGTTTAGATATTTGTATTGGAAAACAACAAAAAAATATTGAGCAAAATATAAATTTTTTTGCAGCGTATGCAACATGCCATGATTATGAATTTAATCATTTCTGCTCTGATTTAAGACCTTTTTAGGCCTGAATTTGTGGAAGAATGAATTAAGACTTTTTAAGACCTGCAGAAACCCTGTTGATAAACAGCGGCCATGTTGAACTAAATCATTCCCTAGTTTTAATTCATTCAAATCAAGGTAATGAATCAGAACAACAAGGCCACAATTTAATAAAACAAGGGAACAAATTCTTAATATCCACATGTCATGTGCAGGGCTCTCATGAAATGGACTCCAAACTAAATGTTTTGGTTCGGTTTTGTTCAAAATGACGTCACACCAGATAATCTTTGATTTCTCTTGAAGTGCATCAGGGCCTTTATCTTGTTTGCGGCCAGAAAGCGAGCGGTCCTGCTCGAGTGGCTCGAAGCAAAGAGAGTTTACGTTGCATCTGAGATCGTGACTGTTTATTTATGGGCTTCACTGTGAGAGCTTCAATTGGAATTTTCCCCCAAAGGAGCTTCCAACGTGTGAAAGGAAAACAGAGATAATGCGCGTTGTGTCGGGTTACGGGCTCGGGGTGATGTGTAACTTTAGCGACTGAGAGGCTAAAGGCAAAGCTTAACTACTTAAACTTAAGACTTAAACAATAGAGGTGTCAGAAAAGATCCAGGACAGCAAAAAATGAGCATCCTTGAAAAAAAAATTAAAATCCAACTTACTGACATAAATATTTGTTATTCAGAAATAACTGATGTTTTAGCTTTATGTCGTCTTTTTGATTATATTTTGTAATAAAATGCATGTTTCAAGTCACCATTGGAGTGATTCTCTTCAGTGAGATTTCATCCATTTCAGCATTTACTTTCTTTGGTGTATAAAAGTAATTATTATTCTATTTTATATATATATATACACAGTATATATATACACACACACACACATACATACATACATACATATATA